TCGGGAGGAACAGATGAGAATCCTGCAGGCTCTCTGAACAATTTTGAGCCCAAACAGATTTTATTCCACAAACCTCCCGCTTCCAAGTGCCAGCCTGGAAATTCATCCCGAGGAGCAATGAGGCTGGAAGGGAAAAAATGAGAAGGGAAAGCAGAAAAACCGCAGCACTACGTGGTGAAACCCCAAAGTCCTGAGCTGGAAAATCCTCATGGCAGCAGGGAAATCCATCCCTGGTGGAGATGTGCCCTCTCCCGGCCTCCCCGGCAACTCCTGCAGGGATAGAGGCACAAAAACCTGCCCAGAAAATGATTCTGGGATGTCTCAGGTGGCGCAGCTCGGGCAGCAGAGCTCGGGAGCACGGTGGCATTTTGATGACACTATTGCTCTTTCCATCCTGGTGGGGTTTTTTTTTTGTTTTTGGTTTTTTTTTGTTTTTTTTTTTTTTTTTTTTTTTTTTTTTGGTTGGTTGGTTTTTGGGTTTTTTTTTTTTTTTTCACTCATATATATATATGCTTTTCAGCAACAACTTCTTTTTAATTATGGACTATATATATATATACACACACATATATACATATATATATATTTATATATAGTGAGATGTAAGAGACAAGGAACATTTTGGAGGAAAAATCTGAGTTAATCTATAGAGGACAAAATTAACAGTTTGGCCATAAAATCTGCATTAATCTGTAGGGGAGACAATGGAGATTTTGAGGTTAAAATGAGGTAATTAGAAGTTGACAGGCAGTGAAAATTATGAGGGTAAAATCCGAGGCAATGCCCATGGTAGAGAAGGAATATTTTGAGGTAAACTGAGGTGATCAGTGGTGGAGAGAAACAGAAAATTTGGGGGTAAAACTTGAGTAGCTCTGTAAAGTTACAAAGAATATTTTGGAGGGAAAATCTTCTGTTACCCAGAGGGGAGAGAATAAACATTTTGGGGATAAGACAGTTAATTACGGGGTCTCTAGGTCATTAAATGTATGTCAAGAATTTGAGCTAGGAGTGAGTGGGGAGCCCTTGGGGTTTGCCTGCTGATGGTTTTGGGATGCTCTCTGAGGTTTTGGGTGCTGTCTGAAGTTTTGGGGTGCTCTCCGAGGTTTTGGGGTGCTCTCTGAAGTTTTGGGAGAGCTTCTGAGGCAAACTGCCATGATAAACAACACACAGGACAGTGCTGTCTGCTTTTTTTTTAACCTTTCCCATCGGCTGTAAAAGCCTCTTGCCAAATTTGGGACTCATTTCTCCTCCCAGCAAAGCCTTGTGTTGATTTTGCCCCTCAGCAGAGAGAGGCCGAGGGAATTCGGAATCAGTTTCTCACTGAACAGATCAAAAGCCAGATAAATGAATATTTTTCACCATGGGCTGGGTCTCGCTGCCCTCTCATGGCTGGATGGACCATGTGCAGCCCACTCCAGCGAGTCTCTCACCTTCCTCAGGTCCTGGCACGAACCAGCATCCCTGGTGTCCCTTGTTTTGTCCGAAGTACAATGATGAAGGACTGACTCACTGACAAATGGGGTGAAAATGGTTAGAATAAAATTAGACAAAGAATGCAGTAAGAAAAAAAGAACTTTTAATGCCTGGAATAGGTAGGGATGAAAATTCTGGAGAGAAGGGCACGTTTATGTTTGCGTTGGTGTCACCTCTGGCAGATCAAACCCCACAGCGAGCGATCAGAGCAGAGCTGTGCCAGCCGGGATGCTCCGAATCCTTTAATTCCTTTAATTTACTGCTCTGATTCCTTCAATCCCTTGGATTCCCATTTCCCGGGAACGCGGGCTGGCATTGGAGACCCCGAGGCGCAGCAGGGCCGGGACTGTGGGAACATGGAATTGCGCTGCTCACGGTGCAGGGACTGCCCTTGGGACACATTTCAAAGCAGCATCCTAGAACATTTTGGAGGATATTTCCAGAATTCCATTGTAGCTGGATCTCGCTCCAAGTGCAGCAGCCGGGTGAGCGTTCTGACCTGTCCAGCCCAATGCCTGGCTGAGCTTTTGCTGGAGCAGGTTTTCCAGGGAAGTGGAGATCACTGCGGACCGGTGCTCTGTGCAGCAGGGACTGGTTTTCGCAAAGCTGAGATGAATTTTGTGAAGAACCGGGAGTGGGTTCGGGCCGGCACTGGGACGGAACGCGGCTCACAGCCGGGACCGGAGCCGCGGGCACAGCGGTGCTGCCCTCCTGTGGACACGCGCGGAACTGCAGCCCCGCGCGGCCGGGACCCTCCCGTGTGATCCCCGGGATCATGGAATTGCGCTGCTCACGGTGCAGGGGCTGCCTTTTGGACGCATTTCAAACTAGTACACTACAACAGTTTGGAGGATATTTCCAGAATTCCATTTGTAGCTGGATCTCGCTCCAAGTGCAGCAGCCGGGTGCGGGTTCTGCCCGCCGCGGGCACAGCGGTGCTGCCCTCCTGTGGTCATGCGCGGTATTGCAGCCCCTCGGGGCCGGGACCCTCGGGACTCCGCGGGACGATCCCTCGGGAGCGTGGAATTGCGCTGCTCACGGTGCAGGGGCTGCCCTTTGGAAACATTTCAAAGCACTATCCTACAACATTTTGGAGGCTGTTTTTTGAATTCTGTTTTAGCTGGACCTCGCTCCAAGTGCAGCAGCCGGGGGAGCGTTCTGACCTGTCCAGCCCAATGCCTGGCTGAGCTTTTGCTGGAGCAGGTTTTCCAGGGAAGTGGAGATCACTGCGGACCGGTGCTCTGTGCAGCAGGGACTGGTTTTCGCAAAGCTGCGATGAACTTTGTGAAGAACCCGCAGTGGGTTTGGGCCGGCACCGGGAGCGATCGCGGCTCACAGCCGGGACCGGAGCCGCGACCGGAGCCGCGGGCACAGCGGTGCTGCCCTCCTGTGGACACGCGCGGAACTGCAGCCCCGCGGGGCCGGGACCCTCGAGACTTCACCGCGCGATCCCTCGGGATGATGGAATTGCGCCGCTCAAGGGTGAGCAGCATTTGGACACATTTCAAAGCAGTATCCTACAACATTTTGGAGGATATTTCCAGAATTCCATTTTAGCTGGACCTCGCTCCAAGTGCAGCAGCCGGGTGCGGGTTCTGCCCGCCGCGGGCACAGCGGTGCTGCCCTCCTGTGGACACGCGCGGAACTGCAGCCCCGCGGGGCAGGGACCTTCGGGGCTCGGCGGGACGATCTCTCGGGAGCGTGGAATTGCGCTGCTCGGGGTGAGGAGCTGTCGCCCTTTGGAGGCATTTCAAAGTAGCATACTACAGCGTTTTGGAGTCTGTCTCCAGAATTCTATTTTAGTTGGATCTTGCTCCAAGTGCAGCAGCGGGGTGAGCGTTGTGACGTGCCCAGCCCAATGCCTGGCTCAGCTGCTGCTGGAGCAGGTTTTCCAGGGAAGTGGAGATCACTGCGGACCGGTACTCTGTGCAGCAGGGACTGGTTTTCGCAAAGCTGCGATGAACTTTGTGAAGAACCCGCAGTGGGTTTGGGCCGGCACCGGGAGCGATCGCGGCTCACAGCCGGGACCGGAGCCGCGACCGGAGCCGCGGGCACAGCGGTGCTGCCCTCCTGTGGACACGCGCGGTACTGCAGCCCCGCGGGGCCGGGACCCCCGACCCCCCCGCGGTTCCATCCCACAGCAGAGAACGGACAGGGTGCTGTGGGGCCAGGCACAGGGACACCGGGCTCCTCCTTCCTCTCTGCTGGGGTTTGCTCCCTGGAAATGACGTTCTAGCAGCCTGGCATGGTCCCTTCAGCCCTGCTTTTCCTGGCACAGCCTCCCACTATTCCTTACTGGCACCTGCAATAAACCACCCCCCACGGGGTGTGATGGCAGCAGGGTCAGGGCTCCTATTGAATGCAGGGAGCCCCCGCCGCAGGGAATGATTGGCATCTCACTCCAGTGATTCAGAAGGCTGAACAATTGCTTTATTAAAATGATACAGTATTACATTAATACTATATTAAAACTATACTAAAAGTATTACATTAACACTATATTAAAACTATAGTAAAGAGTACTAAAAGAATACTGAAGAAAAACCCGTGGCTGTCTGAGACAGCCAGGATGCAGCTTTGGCCCAATAGGCCAATTAATATTAACAACAGCACCTGAATCCAGTTAAGAACTCCCTTCTGATAACCAATCTTCCTAACACATTACACATGTGCAAAATAACAGGAGCAGAGTATAGAACAATTGCTTTATTAAAATGATACAGTATTACATTAATACTATATTAAAACTATACTAAAGAGTACTAAAAAATACTGAAGAAAAACCTGTGGCTGTTTGAGACAGCCAGGACGCAGCTTTGGCCCAACAGGCCAATTAATATTAACAACCATCACCTGAATCCAGTTAAGAACTCCCTTCTGATAACCAATCTTCCTAACACATTACACATGTGCAAAATAACAGGAGCAGAGTATAGAGCTCAGAATTGTTTTCTCTCTTTCTGAGGTTCCTGGCTGCAATTCCCATGAAATATCCTTGGGAAGTTGTGCCTGCCTGCTCTCTATGAAGAGAGCTGAGGCTACAGGTTCCCTCCCCTTTTTAGGGCATTCTCCCAGCCCTGGAGTGCCATTGGAAAACACAGGTGTTATCTGACCTCTCCCTGTGTGTCAGGGCTCAGCTTCAGCAGGGACAGATTGTGGGGTCAGGAAAACAAAGCACTGAGGATGGTGGGCAGTCTTGGCCATGAGTGCCTCCCTGCATCCCCCCCAAATCCTCCCTCGGCTCCCCAGGGCTGCAGAGCTGCTGCTGCAGGGTGGCAGCTGGAGAGCAGAGACCACAAAACCTCCTGGAGCTGGGCCAGGCCTCAGAGCTGCTGTTTCAGGGTGATCCTCTCTCTTGGGGTTCCCAGCATTTGGAAGAACTTCTGCCCACTCCCAGTGCTGGCTCCAAAGCTTTATTGGGGGGCCTGGGCCAGGCCTCAGGGCTGCTGTTTCAGGGTGTCTTGGGGTTCCAAGCATTTGGAAGAACTTCTGCCCAGTCCCAGTGCTGGCTCCAAAGCTTTATTAGAGAGGGAGGAGATGGGGGAGAAGGAGGAGAGGGGGAAGGTCACTGTCCCTAGGGCTGGAGGATGCTCCTCAGGAGTGTTTTCACCTGAGGGCTGAGCCTCCTGGGGAAGAGGATGTCGAAGTAGATGAAGAGGTCGCCCCTGCGCTGCGGGTCCTGGGCCAGCGGCATTCCCTCCCCTGGCACCATTTTGAAGTACTTGGGGCTGCCGAGCACAGGAAGGGGCTCAGAGGGGCTGTGGCACGGTCCCAACACAGAGCCACCATCCCCAGCCCCCCCTGCAGAGCCCCACGTGGCTTTCTCAGGTTATTTGCTCCCCCAGCTTCACCCAGGGCGTGTCCTCCTCCCAAGTTCCGCTCAGCCCCGTTTTCCCCTGGCACTTACTGCACAATGTCGTTGATGGGGATGTTCAGCAGCCTCCCATCCAGCGTCCACACATCCACGGTGCATCCAGTCAGTGCCTGCCGGGCATGGAGGGGCACCAGGAGCTGCTGCTGCAGCCCCCGAGCCCAAAGGGGAACCGCTGTCCCCTCACCCGGCCCTTTACCTTTGCCAGGGAGATGCTGGCAACATAAAGGAGGTTGTTCTCCAGCCGTCTGAACCTTGGGTGGAGCTTCTCTTGGACAACAAAGGTGATGTCAGCTGGAATGATGTTTGGGCCCTGATTGAGGGGGGAAAAAGGTCACAGAATCATGGGAAGGCAGGATGGTTTGGGTTGGAAGGGACATTGTCCTGCCATGGGCAGGGACACCTTCCACTAGACCAGGTCACCCCACATCCAACCTGTCCTTGGAAACCCAAAAATTATTTTATACAGGGAAAACTGACACAGATTCCTGCTCCTCTTTTGTTGCTGTTTTCAGCTGGCTAGAGAGAAGGGAAAGGTATTTTCTTCCCTTGAGAGGAAAAGGAATCTTTTATCCAAGATGCCTGAACTGCCAAGGGCAAATCCAGAACTGTGTTTCTGCCAGGAAGAAAACCAGCCCTTTCAATTATTTTTATTTTAACCTGTTCTAAGGAAAATCCAGGCTCCTCAGAGTGCTTCTGAGCTGAGTCTCTCTGCTGGGTTATGCTGCCAAGTGCCCTCAGCAGTGGGAAACCAGAACTTCTGCATGGAAGAACTTTTTCCATGGAGTGGGCACAGGACTGGAGCAGCTGCTTGTGGGGGGGCATGGAGTCTCCTCTCTGGAGACATCCCCAAACCCACCTGGATGAGCTCCTGCCTGGGCAGGGGTGTGGCATGATCTCCAGGGGGGCCTTCCAAACCTGGAGATTCCGTGCTTACCTGGTCTCCCTCCTTCTCAAAGGTGACCCTGGTGCCACGCTGCCACCCTGGCTGCACGTCAATGGTCAGGATCTTGTCCCTGATGGTGCTCGTCTGCCCGTCCTCGTTCATCACCTGGGCACAGGGCACAGGGAGGGTCAGCAGTGCTACAGTCCCCCGAGGGAAGGGCAAGCCTGCCCTCGTACTCCAGCCAAAAAGTGGCTGTGGGTACAAGTAGGATCGTGAATCAGATCCATAGAATCATCAGATCCATAGAATCATGGGATCATTTAGGTCAGAAAAGCCCTCCAAGATCATGGAGTCCAACTGTTCCCCCATATCCCCGAGTGCCACAGCCACACAGCTCTAAATCCCTCCAGGGATGGGGACTCCACTACAGCCTGTTCCAATGCCTGACCATCCTTTCAGTGCAGAAATTTCCCCTGATATCCAGCCTAAAGCTCCCCCGGCACAGCCTGAGGCCGTTTCCTCATGTCCTAGAGCAGGAGGGACTCAGGGCTGCGTGCAGGAGGCTGGGACAACAAGGAGGGGGACAGAGGACACCAAGGGCACAAAAAGGAGGCACAATGCAGGGTGAAAATGGGATTATGGGAGCCCAGAACACACTGAGCTCCTTCTCCACCCCTCTCTGAGATCAGCCCTCACTTCCTACCAGCTCCCACATTGCCTCCCATGCTGAATTCCCTTTGCCGAGCCGGGGTGGGGAATGCTGGTCCAGCTCCTCCTGGCTTTGGTGCTAATCCCTCCCTGCCACGAGCTCCTGGGGCAGGGCCATCCCAAACACCCCCAGCGAGGGCAGAGCTCGCCCCAAAATCCCAGCCCCTACCCTGCGGGAGATCTTGATCTTCTTGGTGCAGCCGTGGAACAGGTCCTCGAGGGACACGAAGAGATCCCGCACGATGGGGGGGTCCCGCCGCAGGGCCCCCCGGCCCCGGGGCCCCCCAAAGGGCAGCAGCACCTCCGAGCCATCCTCGGCAAAGAACTCTGTGGGAGGGAGCAGGGGCACAGCCCTCAGAGGTCTGGGCTCTTCGCCTCCCGCCCGGAACCGCGCCGAGCGTTTTCTTCCCAGCAGTGTTTGTGGCAGCCTCGCCTCCTTAATGCCCCTTTGTGATGGGAACCCCAGAAAGGGTCACGGGAGCGGCTGGGGAAGGCTGACAGCCTGGCCATGCAGCTGCAGGCCTCCCTGGGGGAAGGCAGGATCTCTCCTGCAAGCAGCACAGGGATCTGAGGGCGGCTGGGCAGGGAAGCATTCCTGGAGAGCCTGGTGTTCACGCCATGGAATCCTGCCATGAGCCCAGCCAGCCCCAGGCCTGCCAGCCTACCTGCAAAGGGGTTGTCCCCTCCAAAGAACTCCCTGAAGACTTTCTCAGGGTTGTTGTGGAACACGTATCCCACGCTCCAGGGGTTGTCGCCCGCGTACTCCAAGGGGATGCCCCCTTTGAGCCCCTCTTCCCCAAACTTGTCGTAGATGCCTTTCTTCATAGCTGAGGGAACAAGGAAGTGTTGGGAAAAGAGGGGAGCCCCAGGCTGAGATCCAGCAGGGTGCAGGCTGGAGAAGGGGGTTCCCAGGAGTGGGGGGACAGACATGGGAGTGTGTTCCAGCCAGTTCCCAGCTGGGCTGAGGGACACGGAGCTGGTCCTGCCGGGCAGCAGGAGCTCACAGCCCCTTCCTGCCCCTGCAGGCACAGGAAGGGGACACTCCGGGAGGGGACACTCCCACTTACGGTCGCTGAGCACATCGTAGGCCTCCGCCAGCTGCTGGAACCTCTTGGGGCCCCAGGGCTCCTTGCATTTCAGGGGGTGGTACTTCAGAGCCAACTTCCGATAGCTGAGGATCACAGGATGGCTCAGGTTAGCTTTGAAGCCCATCTCATTCCATGGGCAGGGACGCCTTCCACCACCCCAGGCTGGACAGGGCTTGGAGCAGCTTCCAGGGATCCAGGGACAGCCACAGCTGCTCTGGGCACCCTGTGCCAGCACCTCACCACCCCCAGTATCCCAGTGAGAGCCATTCCCTGTGTCCTGTCCCTCCATCCCCTGTCCCCAGTCCCCCTCCAGCTCTCCTGGAGCCCCTTCAGGCCCTGCCAGGGCTCTGGGCTCTCCCTGGAGCCTTCTCCTCTCCAGGTGAGCACCCCCACTGACCCATTCCCAACCCAGCCCGGGCTGCCCCCCGCAGCCCCCAGACCCTTTCCCCGGGGCAGGACAGGGGAAGGCCAAGGACGGCCCCGGCCGGGCCCGCCCCGCTCCCACCGCCACCCCCGGCTGCCTCCCGGCCCGGGGGCTCTCTCTGATGCCCGGGGTCCCTCACGCCTTCTTGATGTCGTCGGCCGTGGCCCCGCGCTCCAGCTCCAGCACGGCGTAGTAGTCCAGCCCCATGGCGTCCCGTTGCTATAGCGACGCGACTTCCGGTCCGCGCCGCGCGGGGCATCGCGGGAAGTGTAGTTCTCGCGCTCACTTCCGCACTCTGCCGGGCCCGCTCAACCCTCACCCCGCATCTCTGCTTTCTTAAAAAAAAAAATCCCCAAGTTTCCATGGAAACACACGCAGGCGTTACCAAAGCAGCGGTTTATTTCACTCCGTACTGTGACAGTCGCTTTCACTGCACCCCCTCTCCCCCTGTATCTATTTATTTCCCCCCACTAGGAACAGCATTATTTTCAGCACTGGAAATGCAACCACAACGTCACTGCAACACAAGATCCTCTCTAAATTAAAAATTGATCCCAGTTGTGTAGTAGGAAAAAAAATATGACCTGTTACAAAAACACTGTGTGTGGAGCCTGGTCATGACAACAGCCTCAAAGTTGTACACACACATCCCAGGAAAATCAGCTTGGAAGAGCCTTTCCCACACGCTTCTCCTTTATTTGGCCCCTTCAAACACTTAAAGGTCAGAAAGTTGGTATCTCCTCACTATGCCATCCCTGCAGCACGTGTAGATTTCCTTCTCCCAAGAAGCCACCTGAAGAAGAAAAAACAAAAACAAAAATAAGATGGGTCAGGCAGAAGAGCATTGCTTTTACCCTCAGGCTTCTCCCAGCACCCTTTATCCACACTTTTTACAGGAACAGAGCTGCTCCAACTCCACCACTGCAGCCAGCTCCTGCACAACCGAGATAAAGGCAGGGAATTCTGATTGGTTTAGGATTATTCAGGCAGGAGAACAAAGAGGAGCTCAGAAGTCAGCTGTGTGAGGGAACGTGCTGAGGTGAAAATCCTGAGGGAAGGGCAGTGCCTCCTGCCTGGCAGCAGCTTTCCCTGGCCACCTTCTCCTCAGGGACACCCCCCAGGTTGCCCACCTTGTACACGGGGTCGCAGTCGGCCTCGGTGAGATCCAGGACATAGTCCAGGTCCTGCTGCACGATGAAGCAGGTGCCATCCCCTGCAGGGAAGGCACAGCAGCCAGTCAGTGAGGTGAGCCACGGACAGAAATCCCAGCGGGAAGAGGCTGGGACATTCCTTGAGGCCCCGTTTTGGAGGGGTATCAGGGATGTGGAGGGTGGAAATCCCAAAGCAAAGGGGCAAGAGGACAATGCCCAAAGAGCACAAGGCTCCTTGACTTGATTGCAGGATTTCTAGGGGCACAAAACAGCCCTGGAATTACCTTGGCTGGCAATGAATCCATCTCGGTACGGCAGCAGGGAAAGCACTGGTGCTCCTGACCTGTGGATCACCTGGATTGGAGCACTAGGAAAAGAGCAGAAACAAGGGTGAGGATTGCTGCTCAGAGCAGCTGGGGCTGCCCCTGGACCCCTGGCAGTGCCCAAGGCCAGGCTGGATGGGGCTTGGAGCAGCCTGGGATAGTGGAAGGTGTCCCTGCCCATGGGAAGGGGTGGCACTGGATGGGCTTTAAGGTCCCTTCCAGCCCAAACCATTCCAGGATTCTTTCCTATGGACTGAGCTAGCAGGGAAAAGCAATAACACTCCACAGCTCAGCTCTAGTCCTGTGCTGGAATGAGGATCAGGGCAAATGTCAGGATCCACAAGAGGGAAAAGAAATGGGCTGTGTGGGAATGGGGAATATTGATGATAAGAAGTTTTCTGCCCAATTTATCTACACGTATGTGCACACAAATCATATAAACATACAATTATACACATTTTATATAACAACACAGCACACCAAAATAATGCAAGAGGCTCAGGATGCAATGGGATGCACTCCTTGGAAGTGGCACTGCCTGGCAGCACCCTCTGCTGACTCTCTTTCCAACCAAAACCCTCACTCACTTTGTGTTTCTCACATCCAGCTGGTAGATGTTCCCATCCTGAGTGCCTGCCAGGATGTAGGTGCTTGACAGGAACGTGCAGCAGTTGAAGGCATCAGATCCAACGAAGAGGAACACCTGAGGATTTGGGAACAAACCAAGTGTCAGGCACATGGGACACCCACGAGAGGGAAGCAGGCATTGATTTAGAAGACAGTACAGCTGCCACTGTTTAATTTTAAATATTGTTTTCCCCGTTTCCAAGTTAAGTCCTGAGCAATTCTTAGTCCTACCATAAAAATCTGTGCAGGAGGAAGGACAGAGAGCATCCCTTTATTGCACCAGGCTCTGACCTCTCCTCCAGTTTAGGTTCCCTGGCTCAGTTCCCCATCCCAGTGCTCTGACAGCCCCAGGTCCTTACTGGCTGCCTGCTCTGCAGTCCCACTCCTTGCAGCTTCTTGTCCTCTCGAGCCAGCAGCAGGATTTTCCCTTCTGTCCCCACCTCGCGTTCACCTGGCAAAAGGACAACAGGTCACTCCAGCAGCAGCTGCACAACAATTGGTGGGAGCAGAACCACCCAGCCGGGATCACCCCAGAGGAATTGTGGCCAGATTCCTCCAGATCCCAAGACAGCAGGAAGGCCAGAGCCCAGTCTTCATCGCTCAGCAGTGATGAAGTTGATAGGGCTGCATTCCACCCAGGCCTGGAGCGCTCTTGGGATCACCCCAGCGGAGTTGTGGCCAGATTCCTCCAGATCCCCAGACAGCAGGAAGGCCAGAGCCCATCACTCAGCAGTGATGAAGTTGATAGGGCTGCATTCCACCCAGGCCTGGAGCGCTCTGTTCCCTTCCCACGGTGCCACATGGAGCAGCACTCCCGACACTTGGCATGACCTGTGCCAGGGGGGTGAGGGGTTTAAGGGAAAGGCCCTTACTGGGAGGTGTGACACTTGGCATGACCTGGGCCAGACCTGAGCAGCGTGTGCCAGGGGGGTGAGGGGTTTAAGGGAAAGGCCCTTACTGGGAGGTGTCTCAGGCGTGCCCAGGTTCAGGGAGCTGTCAGCAGCGGCCACGGCGATGCCGTTGACGGGAGAGCCGCAGTCGGCCACGACGCCCAGGCAGGCAGACTTCCCGCAGTCCCAGAGGCGGGCAGTGCCATCCCTGGAGCAGGACAGCACGTTCCTGCCCCGCTCCACAATGGCAGTGTCCAGAACACCTGTGGGAGAGCAAAGTCTGTGCTCATACAGACACAAACAGCACCCGAGCTGAGCCCCACTGCTGGCCCCAGGCCGCTGTCCCCAGTGACAGCAGTCACACACTGACAAGCTGTGCTCCCAGGAAAAGGTGCCTGTGGAAGGCAGCAGCTCCCAGAAAACCCCACAGAGTGGAACCACCATCTGGCACAAAGGGAAGACAGTATCAATCAAATGATATCAGCAACACCTCACCTCAGCCCGAGCTGGTGCCGCACAAAATTAACCTCAAATTAGGGCAGAAAAGAGCCTGGCACTTTTAAACATTCCCAGGTCCACCCCTGGATAATCCCAAAAGCAGCATCCCTATTGTCCAGCTACAGCAACATCCAAGGAGCAGTGTCTGCTGGCACCAAGATCTCTTAACTACTTTATTTTACCGTGGGCTGTCACATTAGGATCTGAGAAATGACAGGGGTTTTCTTAGCAGAGAACTGCCAGGTGGTTAGAAAATTTAATTGGCACTTTCCCTACAGAAGCTCAAAGGACAGGATAAGCCAAGCAAACAGACTGCAGCAGTTTGGGCTGGAGCAATGAGCAGTGACTGAAGTCACCTGGAGAGTGACTGACACTCTGACCAAGGCTCTGCCACACCATCTGGTCTGGTTAGGGGACATGGCTGCAGAAGGATTTTTAATGCTCAAAAACAGATTATAGAATGGTTTAGGTGGGAAGGGACCTTGAAGAACAAGTTACAACCCCCAAATCATGTAAGAACAATGGCAGGTTCAGCACAAGATGGGTTTTTGAGTTAATCAAGTTTAGGGCAGCCAGCCACAGGGTTTATTAACTTCTCAGTGAAGCTCAGCACTTTGTGGGACAGGGAAAACCAGAGCCTGGACACAGCAACTGGCAGCTCAGGGAAGAGAGAACTCGGGGTAGAGCTTGGGGCATCTGATGCCACATTCCAGACATGAAACACAGAGTGCAGCAACTGTGTTTCAGTGCAGGCTGCAGACTGGGCATCAGCCCTGCAGTGCAAGGCAAGTACACACTCAGCAAATGAAGCATCTCAAGGGCTCTGTACCTCCTTTGTGACCTTTAAATGTTACTACACAGCTGGCATCTTCTGCTGACCAGATCTTTAGCTGGGCATCCATTCCCCCACTCAGAACCACGAGGCCCGATGGGAAAAACCTGCAACAATTCACATCATACACATGGCCTTCCAAAAGTCTCTGGAAAAACAAAGAACTACGTGCTAGTTCCATTGTCATCGTCCTCGTGCCGAGCAGCTGTTGAGTTATGACACTGGAAAACTTGGCATTCTCACATGGGCAAAGGATTGAACCCAAATCCTCTGGCTCTGCATTGCTGGAATGGAGGGGTCTGAATTTGGGGCAGTCAAAGAGGTGATTTTGGGCCTTCCCTCTACCATTTGAGCAGCTAATTACACTGCAAAATATAATTTGCTTCTAAGTACAGGTTAAATATCTTTATTTTCTGCCAAACAAGGAGCTGACAGGTCAAGCTCCACGAGAAGGAGCTTTCCCCCTTTGCTGGGAAGGCCACAAGCCAGGATGTAGCTAATCCAGCACAAAAACCCTTTTTCCCCAGCACCAAAATCTTTCTTCCCATGCAGGATAGGGGCTGTCAGTGGCCTGTTACTCCTGATTCTCCTGTTACTCCTAATTTCAATTAGCTTTTCATTAAAAAGCCAGATTCTTCACAGGGTGTGGACAGCCTGACAAAAGTCACTGCCTTCAGGACTTCAGGAATGTCACAGACAACACAAAACCATCCAAGCCAGATGTTCTTACTCTTATTTCTCCATTTGCAGCCTGCCATATTTTCATGGTCCCATCCGTGCTGGTAGACACGCCGAGTCCTCCACCACTGGAAATATCAAGGCAGGTAATCTGCAGGAAGGTAAAAGCACCAAGAATTAGCCTTACATATAATTCTGTACATAAATATTTCTGCTCAACAGCCTAGCCCTGTACAGGGGGAAACCTGCTGAGTACATTCTCTGCCTGTGGCTCTGCAAGGCAAGGAGAAAAAGGAATGCTGAGGCAGAAGCCTGCACAAGCAGCAGTTGTATTCCAGGTTTATCCCAGGTGGAAGAGAAATCTGGACTTTTCTAACAGGTCCTAAAGAGATGAGAAATGAGAAAACAGCTCAGGGTAACTGGCCTGACTCACAAGCCCACAAGACACAGTTTGAGATATTTATGAAGCCAAATTCACAGCCTAAATTTGCTGAAAGATGGAATCAAAACTAGTTCTTTATATGAATTGGGGCCCCTCAGAAGAAGCACTTGGAGGGGCAGGAGCATGCCCAGGGAAGGTGTGGCATTCACATTCTCTGAACAGAGACAGAGATAATCCTCTCTCCCAAGTTTTTTCCTAGAGAAAAACAGAGAGAAGATAAAACAATTCTTATATCTACTTGCTGCTCCTGTTGGTTTTGCACATGTGAAATGTGTTAGGAAGATTGTGCACCTGAGGAGAGCTCCTAATTGGATTCTGGTGATGGTTGTTTATATTAATTAGCCCACTGAGTCAAAGCTGTGTCCTGGCTATCTCAAGACAGTCACAGGTTTTTGTTTAGTATTCATTAGTATTCTTTGTAGTATAATGTAACATAATACAGTTTAAATAAAACAATTGTTCAGCATTCTAAATCAACAGAGTCAGATAACAATAACTTCCTTCATCAGAGGCAGCCTGTTTTACTATAGGAAGGAAACAGAGCTGGGAAGGAATGGAGAGGTTGAGGGAGCTGGGAAGGGGCTCAGCCTGAAGAAAAGGAGGCTCAGGAGGGACCTTGTGGCTCTGCACAGCTCCTGACAGGAGGGGACAGCCAGGAGGGAACAGGGACAGGAGGAGAGGGAACAGCCTCAGGCTGGGCCAGGGTGGACATCAGCAGGAATTTCCTCATGGAAAAGGGTTTTAAACAGTGGAAGGGGCTGTCCAGGGAGGTTTGGAGTCCCCTGGAGGTGGCACTCAGTGCCCTGGGCTGGGGACAAGGTGGGCATCAGGCACAGCTTGGACTCAGTGATCTCAGAGGTCTTCTCCAACATTAGGAATTCTGTGATGCTGCGAGCTGCATTTGCATTGCATTTTTTGAAATTAATTTCCAGGCTGTGGGTGGGGGGGAAAAAAAACCCCACCACAGCGGTAAAACCCACGGACAGGAATAAGAAATGCAGATGGGCTCTAGCCAGGACAGGGTTAAGTTTTCCAGCAGCAGAGGGGCAGGGCCAGGAGGAGGATGTTCCCCGCTCCCACCTCTCCGTGCGGCGGCGGGAAAATGTCCTTTTCTTCCCGCTTTCCTTCTCGCCTGCCGGGTCCCCGCGGTCGCTCCCTGTCCCGTTGCTGTTCCCCGTGAGTCGCTCGCTGCCTTCGGTGCTCCGGTTCCCCTCTGCAGCCTCCCACCGAGCGCTAAATTCGGGAATGCCAATCCCAAACCACTAATCCAACGGCACGAGATAAGGACAGCTCTGCCCGCAGCGGGGTGGAAGCAAGTTTGAGCTGAGTGTTTGGTGTGTTAGCTACAGTCCTGGTCACCATGTGGCTCAGTCAGCTCTTCGTGGAGTGGTACCTGTGCAGGTTTATATTGCCCTGCGTGCTCCTGGTAATGCACTTTAACCGTCTGGAGAGATGGTTCAAGGTTCTTATGTACATGGATTTTGTGGTATCCACTTGTGGCGTTGTACACCACCTCCAGGAGACCATTACTAATGGTTCCATGGGGGGAAAAGGGGACGAATACTTTCATAGCCTTTTCACCTCCTTTAACTCCTTTAAGCCTCTTAAAGCACCTTTTGAGCTGCCTCTGAATATTGAAGAAAGCACGTTGTTGTTCTGTCTGCTGTGTCTCCTCCCTCTGGTCTACATCACCTTTGTGGTCTACTTCATCTTCAGAGTTACAAAAGAGATCACTGGGAAGCTCTTTCAGAGAGCAGATAATGATGAGTGGCATGGAAAGTGGGAGAAAATCGGGCAGGTTTTGAAGGAGTATTCAGCTCCAGTGGTTTGGAAGTTCACCCCTCAGCAAATACAGGACCCCGTTAAGGTGGCAGAATATCTGAAACAGAAACGCCGTGGTGGCTCCAGGGAGGAGCAACTTACTGCTCTCTGCTGGGCCCTGGCTACGGTGTATCGGACACTGCTGGATACCAGCCAGACCCCTCAGGAGGAAGAGGAGGAAGTGGAGAACAGTAGGACAGCCACCATGGCCACTCAAAGTGCAGCTGCACCAGAGGAACCACCCATGCCGGGAGCAGTCGCTCCTGAGCAGAGCACATCCAACGCTGAATTAGTTTCCTTAGTGAGGGATGAAGAGGATGAAGACGATGAAGAGGAGGATGAAGAGGAGGAGGAGGAGTCCTCAGAAGAGGAGGCAGAGGCAGAGATGACCAGCGAGTCCCGGCGCAAGCTGCGGCTGGTGCGAGAGCGCTTCGCGCGCCCGGCGGGTCAGCCCTTGCTGCTGTGGCTCTACGAGTGCTGGTTTGCAGGGGCCCACGAGGACGTGCTGCTGGACAGCTCCGAGGCCGAGCAGCTGGGACCCCTGGCCCGGGACAGGGCCATTGACAGGGGCCTCGGGAGGAGGGCAGGGACCCACAGCCTCTGGAGGCGGCTGGTGGGAAGCGTGAGGGAAGCGTACACCACGGAGCAGCTGCTGCTGCGCCGGCACCGCTGGAGCACCCGGCTGGAGGGGGTCCAGTACCTGACAGAGCTCTCCATGGCTGACATACTCTTTGGGAACACGGGGAACAGGCAGTGCCTGGATGACCTGGACAGAGCCTGCTGCACCTGGGACATGTGGCAGGCGCTGAGGGAGAGCGCGCCACCGCTCTACGCCGAGGCGCTGGCGTCACTCGCGTGGAACAGGAACCTGAAGGTGCTAAAATTAAAGGTCTTCATCTGGGACTACAGAGTGAATCCCTCTCCTCCTCCACAAGACAGCTCCTCCCACGGGGAAACACAGCCTGAGGAACGTGGTGATGATGATCCCTGCACGATATGCCACGAGGAGCTAGGCAGGACCTCGTGTGAACTGGAGTGTGGGCACGAGTTCCACAGAGAGTGCATCAGGACGTGGCTGCAGCAGCATTCCAGCACCTGTCCCATCTGCCGTGAGCACGCCGTCCTACCTGCAGACACCTCTGCATGGAACAACTCGCAGCCCTACCAAGCCAGGCCTTGGAAAAGATCGGGGTTTTAGAACAGCTCCCAGGGAAAAGCGCTCAGCAGAACAAGGTCTTAAAGAATGGGCTGGGTTGATTTCAGAAGGCTCAGAAGTGAAAAAATAGCAGCAAGAATAAAAAAAACAGAAGAATTTAAAAGTCAGTTAAAAAAACCTCTGGATACCAATGAGAGGGGATGGAAGTCCACTGGTGACAAGGAAAAGCAGTGTAATGGATATAGATATGTATCCTGAGACATTTAGGAGGGACAGCCTCTGACTAAGGGAATGATTCCTGTGCGTCTGTGTGTATAGACAGTTGGGTGGTGTGGGATCTGGGATAGGATGAGGGGTGGGGAATGTCCTGCTTCTGGCCAGGACAGGGTTAATTTTTACAGGAGCAGGGAGGGGCACATTTGGGATATTGGGTTGCACTGCTTTTGGGTTCCTTGTGGTGAGCAGATCTCTTCCCTCTCCTGTACATTTTATTAATTAACATTGCTGCTACTGCTGCTTTTTTAATTCCATTGCTGTTCTCAGTAAATTGTTCTTATCTCAACCCTGATCTTTCTCTTTTGTGCCTCCAATCTACGTTTCCATCCCACCTAAGGGGGAAGGAGTCACTGGCACGTGGTGCAGGGTGCTCCAGTGGGAACACCATCCCTAAGCCCCAAGATCACAGTTCCATCTGCATTGCAACCCCTCACCCTGAGGACACCACAGCCAGGGATGTGGGAGCTGCCAGTCACATCCAGAGATTCCAACCCCATCAGGCTACTCACACTTTTCTGATGAATCCTACAAAAACTCGTGTACGGAGCCAGGAACTTTGTGGACACATTTTCGTGAGGACAAGAAATGAGGATGCTTTTCTGAGGGGGGAAGGAAGGGGAAAAAATTAATTAGGAGTGCTGTTAGTCCTGAAACAGAGGTCCCCAAAGTAGAAGTGTGGACTGGACCCAGCTGTGGGATCCCAGAGTTTGAAAATGGGATCAGTGTGGGGCTCATCTCCCCAGGATGCAGCTGGGATGGCAGGGACCAGCTCCAGGGCTCTGCCCGGCCGGACAGGCCTGTCAGAGCAGCCCCTCTGTGCACGGGGCATGGTGACCACCCCTCTCCCGCCAGCCCCGGCACCTTGGTGACTTCCCGGACCAGGAATCCCTCGGAGGCCGCGATGTCTGGCACGCCGTCGGAGCCGAGCCCGCGCCGGGTGACGCTGCCGTACAGGGTGGGCTTCCCTGGGGGGACAGAGGCCGTCAGCGACCCACAGCGACCACCCCTCACCCGCAGCACCCCCCCGATCCCGCCTCACCCTCGCGGCTCCCCCGAGGCCCCGCTAGGCCACTCACCGGGGCTGCGGCAGCTCAGCCACGCCTCGCCCTCGTCCCTGCTGCAGAGAGAAGAAGCGGCCGGGCGGGGAGCGCGACAAGGACAAGGACAGGGACAAAGGAAGGGATCGCTCCCACCTCAGCGCCCGGCTCCAGTCGCTCTGGATCCGCAGCGTCGCCGCCATCTTTGCCGAGGTAACTGCACACACTTCCGCCTCCTTACTTCCCGTCGGCCCCCACGCGAGCGGAAAGGGGAGGAAACCCACCAATCAACGAGCGCCGCCGCGGGCGTGGGGAGCTGCCGCCTTAAAGGGACCGCGCAGCGCTGGTACGGGGGCTGCAGGGAGGGGATGGAGGAGGGGGCTGGGGATCCCTGGGGATCCCTGGGAGGGGCCGGGGATCCCTGGGGAGCCCCGGGAGGTGAGGAGGGGCCGGCTGCAGGGAGGGGATGGAGGAGGGGGCCGGGGATCCCTGGGAGGGGCCGGGGAGCCCCGGGAGGTGAGGAGGGGCCGGGCACCCCGGGCACACGGCCGGTTGTCCGTCTGCAGCGGCATGGCGCGGGCCGGGCACGGCGGGAGCCGGGCGGCGGCGGCGGCGCGGGGCGAGGCGGAGGAGGAGGAGGGCGAGGACCCGCTGGACGCCCGGATCGCGCGGAGCGGCTGCCTGCAGCAGCACCGGGAGCTGCAGGAGTGCATGGCGGAGCGGCAGGACTGGCGGCGCTGCCAGGAACCGCTGCGCGCCTTCGGGGCCTGCATGGCCCGGCGGCAGCGGCGGCAGCGCGGGCCCGGCCCCGAGCTGGAGCCCCCGGACTGACACCGGCCCCCGGCAGCCTTCCTTCCATCCCAGCGCCTGGAAAGCCGGGGAACTGCTGGGAAATTAAATCTGGAGTCTGGCAGCCCGCGCCTTGGTCTGTGCTGGGGGAGAGGGTGGGAGGATGCAGCATGGGGCTGTGCCATGGTGCATTCAGGTGGGAAACTCAGGGGGAATTTTCTTCATGGCAAGGGGTTTGAAACATTGGAAAGGGATGCCCAGGGAGGTCTGGAGTGAGTCCCCATCCCTGGAGGTGTCCAAGAGTGACTGGACATGGCACCCAGTTCTCTAGGCTGGTGACAAGGTGGGGCTGGCCATAGCTTGGACTCAGCGATTCCAGAGGTCTTTTCCACCCAAAATGATTCAGTGGTTGTGAATTTCCAGCCCAAAATGTCCCAATCCAGGAGCATTCACAGCACTCAGGCTGGGTCTTGGCTCCACAACAGCCTTGCCATGGATTTTTACTCCATGTCCTCTGTGCCATCCAAAGACTTTTCCAGCAGTGATAACCTCACGTCCCACAGGATGGGATTTATTTCCAGGGAAGCCACAGAAAAATTAGGAATAGGAGAAAAATGGATTCTCGTCTGACCACCACCTGCTGGCAAATAAGCCATGAGAAAGAAAATAGAATTGCTTTTTGCATGGCTTTTGTCAGAAGGAAGGTTCCGGGCTATTTCTCAGGGATGTGGGTCCTGGGAATACCAAGAGGCTGAGCATGGACAGCCCCAGTTTGGGGAGAGTGTAAATAAATGTGTTATTTTCCCTCTTTTTGACAAGCTGATCCTTAGAAAGGGGGAGGTAAAAAACCTCCAAACAAACCAGTTTCTGGAACAGTTTCTCTTGGCATCCATCAAATTTGGTTATAACAATTCCTGGGGTTGTTGCAGCACAGCATTGCTGATGCACAGAGATTTCTGCAGAAATTCCCACCTACCAAAAGCAAAATAGGCAGGAATTAAAAAAAAACAAACAAAGGAGGAAAGCAAACCCACATTCCATTGGGGCACCTTTGCTCCCAGTACAGACCAGTCAGATACAAACTTGTGATTTATTTTTATTGGGACAAGCTGGCTGCCAACAGTGGGAATTCCTCCCAATTCACAGCTATCAGTGCAGAGCTCATGGAAGCACCCTCTGGAGGCTGGAACAGCCCATGGATGGCACATTGTTCCTCACCTCAGGACATCTCTGCCAGCAGCTCCTCCAGCTCTGGTCGAGACTTCAGCCGGCTCTTGAAATCGGCTTCCGTGTGCTGTGCAGGGAGGGAAAACCACCACAGATCAGGGTCACACCCAGCCCTTCCCTGCTCCTGAAGGGAGAGCACTGGGAAGTGCAGCCATACCTGTTTCATCAGCAGGTGCACCCCCTCAGGCTGGTTACTCTGAATGATTTCCAGCAGGATGGGAGCAAACGTCGCGCTCAAGCCGCGGATCTGAAAGCAGAAATGGCAGAGCTGCAGGAGAACAATCCCAGGAGACTCTGGGTTGGAAAAGGACCTTAAAGATCACCCAGTGCCACCCCTGCCACGGGCAGGGATCCCTTCCACTGTCCCAGGTTGTTCCAGCCGGGCCTTGGGCACTCCCAGGGATCCAGGGGCAGCCACAGCTTCTCCAGGCCTCCCCACGCTCACGGGGAACAATTCCTTCCCAATATCCCATCACTCCCTGTGAGTTTCTCCCCTCACCCAACCCCAAACATGTCTTTTTTACCCCCCCCCATCAATTATTCAGCAGGAAAAACTAGATAATAAATCTTCTGCCTGAAGCACAGAGCCAGGAAATCCTCCTGAGTTTCTGGTTTAGGAGCAACACTCAGCAGAAAACGTAACCAGACTTTTTGCTTCCATTTCTGCCCAAACGTTGCCTTTCATCAGTTGAATGCTTGAGGGGTTTGTGGAGCCTGTGATGGGATCCCAGCTCCTACCTGCACAACCCTCTGGTGGGTGGTGAGGACTGCATCCAGCTGCATTTTGGATCCCCTCTCCTCCAGGAACAGCACCTCGTTGGTTTTGGTGGGCATGGCGTAGCTGCAGGAGGCAGAGGGCAGTGCTCAGCACAGGCAGGGTGCTGGCAGGCATCAATCACCCTCCCCAGCAGAGAACGGGCAAGGAGATTAACTTTTCATGGGGAATTAATTATGCAGAGGATGTATCCTGCACATCAGGGGCTGGCAGAGGCCGGGTGTCTTGCTGGAAGGAGATAAGGAGGAAGCTCTGCAGCACTGCTGCTGGCAAAAACCTGGATTAGCTCCAAACACCAGCCTGAGAACCTTTAACTTCTTCACTGCTCAAGAAAAGCAACAGTTCTGACTTATTTTGTCCTTTGGGACAGAGCTCAAGTCTGCTGCTGCAATGCACCACTCAAAATCCACTGTTTGCACCTCAGATTTAAGGGGAATGTGACTGGGAGTGGATCAGACTCTGCTCCACGCTCGGGACCTCAGCCTCCTCATCCCCATTCCCACATCCCATCTTTTCCCCTCAATTCCCACTCTGCAGGGCAAATCCTTCCTTCCTCTGCACACTGAGCCACCTCAGAGGGTACGAGTGAAAAGCACACACTTGAGAGAGTCCCTGCTGGTTTTGTTCCCTGCTGGCAGCTCCCTGGGAGCACCTCAGGCACCACGGGGCTGCCTGACATTCCTCAGGGATTACAGCCAGTGGAGTGGCTGCTGGAATACACCTGCTTTGGAGAGCTAGGCTGCTCCTGAAGCACGCTGTCCTCCTAAACTGAAGGAGCAGGAGGTTCACCCAGCACCTTCAGGGCTTTCCCGAGCTCATTCCAGTTCCAGGCATGTAGAACCGGGATCACAGGTCAGCAATTCCCAGGCTCTGCAGCCACAGGCTTAAAGCCTTTTCCTCAGAGGAAGGAGATGTAACAGCCATTTTTTCCTTGGAATCTGCTCAAGCCAGTGCCTGAAAAATGCTTCTAAATAGATCCCATGCTTCTAAATAAAGCATCCAAAACTGTACAGATAGACAGAAGGAGAACACAGAGGTTTGGACTGCCAGCCAAATGGGAATCCCTCAGGGAGACTGGAGCGTGGCCTGGTGTGCAGGGGGACAGAATTCCCGAGTTCCTCATACCTCTCATTGACCCGGATGCAGAGACGGTTGCAGAGCCTGTGGACATGCTGAGCAAAGTGCTCCACCAGGCACAGATCATAGGAAGTCATCTGGATGTTGATGTCCCCATACTCGTACTCAGTGCCAGCGCTGATCTCTTTCATCTGCACTCTTTCCTTCTTCCTCTTTGGAACCTGTTTTCCCAAAGAAAACACAACAAGATAAAATGGAGAGGATCTGGTCTGAACAGTGCTGGGATCAAAGGTTCAGCTCTTGCATGGCCTCACACAGAAAACGCAATCATGCTGGGATTAACTTCTTCCAGAGGAAGAAAGAAAGGAGGAAAACCAGTAGAAATAAACTCTGCTGCTCACAAAATTCAGGCATTAAACTGATTAATTATTAATTAACCTCAGGAGGGGGTTCCTCCCTCCCAAAGCTGGAATGTGCTGGACAAGAGGAAGCATTTCTGCATGCGTGGGCACTTCATGGAATAGTTTGGATTGGAAGGAACCTTAAATCTCACCCCATTCCAAGCCCCTGCCACGGGCAGGCACACCTTCCACTGTTCCATCCACGTGCTTCAGGATCACCTTGGGAAAGCAAGCACAGAGGGAAATCCTGCCTACCTCCTTTGGGAGCAGGTATTTAAACCTCCCGATGCCATGGGTGGGTCGGGACCTGTAGGATCTGTGGGGAGCCAGGAGAGCATCACCTGAAAATGACAGCAGAGCAAACGTGTTTCCAGCTGTGAACAAACATCTGCAGGGCCCCAAATTGTGGTCACCTGCTCAGCCAAAAAACAGGGAAAAAAAGAAGAAAATGCTGGGAAAATCCCATATGGAAGTGGAGAGCACCTGCTCTGGTTATTTAACCAGCCCAAAATTGGCTTAAAAAGCCCCAAAATAAAACACGCTTGATTCAATGTTTAATATTTGTTTGACAACAGACCTTACCTGCAGCACACAGAAGGTTTTCTCTGGCTGTTGCTGCTCTGTAAGAATAAAAATACTAATTAATAACTCTGATTTCCCTCACTTGCAGAAAAATATGTGGCCAATGTCCTTTTGCAAAGGCAAGGCCTGATCCCATCACCCACTTTTCCCCATCCCACAGCCCCTTCAGCTCCCAGCTCAAAGTCTTACCTCCACTATTAGAAGATTTGAAAAAAAAAAAAAAAAGAAAAAAAGAAAGAAAAAAAGGCAATTTTGGGTCATGTTTGCTTTCTCACCTGCTGAGGGCCAGCACCTGCCTGAGCAACACTCCCTTCTCCGAGCACAGCACCTGCAGGGGTAAAAACACAGCAGGGTGGCAGATCCACTGTGAATTTTCTCCAGGTTACTACACCCCTAGGATAGGACCCAGGGAAGGGCTGGAGCTGTGCCAAGGCGGCTTTAGGCTGGATTTTAGGGAAAGGTTCTTCCCCCAGGGGTGCTGGCACTGCCCAGGCTCCCCAGGGAATGGGCACAGCACCGCCCTGAGCGAGCTCCGGGGGATCAGCACCGATGTCCCAAATGTCCCGGTGCAAAGGGACGGGGATCTGACAGGGACCACGGAGACGAGGGGTGTGTGAGGATGGGCAGCAGGAGTGTGTGGGAGTCTCAGCCCCCGTCCAGGAGCACCCAGACAGATCCAGGGCACGACCTCAAGGTCTGGACCCCCTCAGGATCACCTCCACGCTTCCCTCCGAAACCACACCAGGGTGCGATCAGCGCCTCCAGCAGCAGGGCCGGAGCTGCCTCAGCACTCCCAGGGACCAAGGCTACTGCTCCGCTCCTGTTCCTCCCCTTCCCTGTCCCCGCGTCCTTCCCCGCTCCCACTCCCCTTCCCCGCGGCCATCCCGCTACCTTCGGCACCGCCGCCATCATCCGGCGCCACGGTCCGTCACACAAAGCGTTCCCCCTCAGTGCCTCGGTACGCCCCCATTCACGTCCCCCCGTCCCGCGGCTCGCTCCCCGCGTTCCGCCCACCGGCGCCTCCCGGGAATTATCAATCTCGGACAGCTCGCCGCTCCGCCCACCAAGAAATCCCGCAGGCAACAACTTTTGGGCAACCCGCGGTACTGGCGGGGCCCTGGCATCCCGAAGGAGGCAGCGGGGAGGGCGCGGGGGTGCGGGCAATAATGGCGGACACTTCCGTCCGGCCGGCCAACACGCGGTGGGCAGCGCCGCCATGCGGCAGCGACTGCACAGCGCACCCTGCCCTGCGCCTATCACCGCGCGTCCCGCCCGTTACGGCCCGCCCCCCGCCCGTCCTCGCACACTGATTGGTTCTCAGCCACGTCCATCACGGTCGGCGGCCATGTTGAGTGTGGCACGGCCACGTTGCAGTGCTGAGGGCGGTGCCCGGCCCTGCCCCAGCGTGGTGGAGCGGCCATCTTGAGTGTGGCGGCCCGGCGGCCATTTACTTAGGCCTTTAGTATCGCTTAAAAAAAATAAAATATTTATCATCACGAAATTCTTAAGCGTAGGGAGGCTGGGCTGGCGGGGACCTCCTCTCTGATTTCCCAAGTGGGAGGGGGGCAGGGGTCTGCCTGGGAAGAGATGAGGCTGTGCTCCTCTGCCTGCCGGCCCTGACAGTCTGGAGCTGGCTCAGCAAAACCCATCCCGTGTCCCTCTGCCTCTTCCACACAAAGCTTAATTTCCCACAGGCTCCTTTCCCTCCTCCTGGCTCCCTTCTCTCCAGCCTGGCTCCACTTTCCCCCTTCTTCCATGGTGGGTGCTCACTCTGGAGCCCACATCCCTGAGCCCCCTTCTGCGAGCTGGATTTTGAGTCAGGATTTTGAGTCAGGATTTTGAGTCAGGATTTCCCACCCTGCTGACTTCTGGCTGCTCCAACTGCTGTCAGAGCTCCTGATGGACTTTCCCCCTCCAGCTCATCCACGTGGCAAGTTCATGCCCTGCTCTGTGGCCCAGCCCTGCCCTGCATTTCCCAGTGCCCGGAGCTCCGGACACACACGGGACTCCCTCGGTGTCCATCCCCTCTGCAATGGTGAGGGGACAGAAGGAATGTGCAAGGACAAGCTTTGTCTCTCCACCTGCCCAGCACACGGAGAGAGCAGAGGGAATCCACGGCACCTTTGCTCTTTGCTCCACAGGGCAATGCCACGTGTTCCCAGCTCCAAGCTGTGTTTTCCTGGCGCTCCCGGGACATGACAGAACTGCCCACGTGGAAGTTTTCCTGCCCTTCGATCCCACCGGGCGTGCCAGCCTGGGAATGATGCTTGTTCAGGTGGCCGAGCACCCTCCCTGTTAGGACATGGTCCTTATTTCCAACTGGGATGTGCCTTTCTTTGCCTTTTGCATAATTTCACATCCCTGCTGCAGGAGCACAACTTCCAAACCTTTTTGTGACACAGGGAGAAGCTGAGGGGACTCGATGACTTCCTTTTTCTGCACCACACTTAAAAACTCCAGGAAGCTCCTTCTCCTTTTTAAGGCTTCCCATGCCTTGCCTCCACTTCTTTTCATACTTATCCAATGATGAAAACAATCAAGAAGTGTTCAAACAGACCTTAGAAGAAAACCCCTGTTTCACGTGTCTCCTCCTCTGCCTTCAGCTGTTGTTTTCCCTGGGACCCACGGGAAAGATCCTGGAATGAACCCTGACACAAAAACAAGGACAATACCTGCATTTAATATTTGAGATTCTCCCTGCAGGAGAGCAGCCACACAACCAGTGTGGAAGCACTCCCAGATGCCAGGTGCGGAGCTGGATGGAGATTCTGCTCCTATCTATTAAAACTTGTTTAAATTTAATCACCTGATCAAAGACACATTTTCCTCTTTTAGTTCTCTGGGTGAAAAAAAAACAAAACAAAACAAAAAAACCAGCTCTTGGTGAAGGAGTTAATCACACTGAAGGAGTATAAATGAAACCATCAAAAACAGAAAGGCTTTCAAAACTAAACACGTAGCAGATGTATTTCCCTGGCTATCAGAGCAGAGATGCTCTGGAACAATCTCCCAGCCAAGCTTTAAACAGGAGGGGCCAGGATGCACATGGAAACCTCCTCAAACACCAAACTTTGAGGGCAGAGTGGGGGAAAATGGGCAGAAAATAGTGAAAAGCAAAGCTGGCCCCTCCAGGAGGGCCCTGAGCCACTGTCGAAGAATGACAGTGGGAACCACTGACCTTCCTGGGAAATATCACTTTAATGTGAGGGATCTGCTCCGCAGAAATGCTCCTCTGAAAGGAGCATCTGTGCCAGGTCGGGATTAAGCCTTTGCTTTTAGGGGCTTTGCTGGTTGCCCCCTCAGGCCGGGTACACCTCAGCCCTCACCGGGATGCTGTGAGGGCGGGCAGGCCGCGGCACAGGGCGCCCACAGCAGCTCCGCCCGCCCCCGCACGCCCGACAGCGCCCAGGCCGGGCTGCACAGCGGGGCTCGGAGCAGCCCCGTGCCGGCGGAAGGCGTCCCTGCCCCCGGCAGGGGTGGAACTGGCTGATTCTCCCCGTCCCTCCCAAGCCGGGCCATTCCCGGCCCGTGGCACAGGGAAGCGCCCACTGCGCGTGCGCGGGGCGGGCGCAGCGCCGGCTCCGGGAGCGCGGGGGGGGCGAAGCGGCGGCACCGGCACCGACACCGGCACCGACACCTCACCGGGGCTCGCAGCCTTCGCCGGGGAGGAGGAGGAGGACGAGCGGAAGAAGCAGGCGGAGGCGGAGAGCAGCGGGTGGCGGTCGCGGGTGCCGCCGCGGGGAGCGGAGCGAGCGCGGGGCGGCGGCGGCGGCTCCTCCATCATGTCGTCGGGCGGGGACTTCGGGAACCCGCTGCGGAAATTCAAGCTGGTGTTCCTGGGCGAGCAGAGCGGTGAGTCACCGCCCGCCTCGGGCCGGGACCCCCAGCCCCACACCCGCCTGCCCCTCGTGGGGGCACGAAGGGACCCCCTGCTCATCCTGCCCGGCGTCCTCATGAGCGTCCGTGACACCCGGCCACCCTCGTGGGGACTGGTGGGATCCCCTTCCTCACCCTTGTGGGGTCTGGTGGGATCCCCTTCCTCACCCTGCCCGACACCCAGCCACCCTCTTGGGGTCTGGTGGGATCCCCCCTCCTCATCCTCATGAGGTCTGATGGGATCCCTCCCTCATCCTCCCACACCCTCATGGGGTCTGGTGGGATCGCCTTCCTCACTCTGCCCGACACCCATCCGCCCTCATGGGGTCTGGTGGGATCCCCTTCCTCACCCTTGAGGGGTCTGATGGGATCCCTCTCCTCACCCTCATGGGTTCTGATGGAATCGCCCCCCTCATCCTCCCCAGCACCCACACCCTCATGGGGTCTGGTGGGATCCCCTCTCCTCACCCTCCCCAACACCCACCCACCCTCATGGGGTCTGGTGGGATCCCCCTCCTCATTCTCCCCGACACCCACCCACTCACCCTCATGAGGTCTGATGGGATGCCCTCCTCATCCTACCCAACACCCACACCCTCTTGGGGTCTGATGGGATCCCCTTCCTCACCCTCATGGGGTCTGATGGGATCCCCCCCTCACCATCCCCAGCACCCACACCCTTGTGGGGTCTGATGGACCCCCCTCCTCAGGACACCCAGCCTCTGCCGTGAGGGTCCCTGACCCCCACCCACCCTCGTGGGGCTCCGCGGGGCTCAGCTCTGGTTTAACCCCCCCCAGCCCATCTGCAGAAGCAGTTGCTGATTCATTGGGTCCCAGCTCCTCTGGTTTTTGGGGGGCAGGAGTCTCGATCCGCAGCGTTTGCTGTGTAAATAGAGCGTTTTTCTGTAATGGAGTTGTGTCTTGGCAGAGCGACGCTCTGAATATTTAATTCAGTCAGCGAGGTTTTCTTCCCTGTCTTTGGAATGAAAAAAAAAACAACAAAAACCACCAACCAACCTAAACAATATCTCCTCCTTCCTTAGCGGAAGGCCTCTATCTCCAATACTGCATTCCAAATTTTTCCCTTGGAAGAGTTTTCTAAAAAAAAAAAAGCAAAAAAAAAGCTCCTTCATGAGATGCTTTGTGTAATCCTGGGTAGATTCTGAGTGATCTATGACATAATGAATAGGTGCAAAATATTTTCTGTCTCAGGGCGGGGTATTTGCTCCCTCAGCCACCTTTGGTCTGTGTGGTATGAGATGATGAAATGCTAGCTGGTTTTATTTTTGGCCAAATTATTTGTATTTTGGTGTTTCCTCACTTGGATGCGGATTAGCTTGGTGATAAGGCTGCTGTTGAAATTGTTTACCTGTATGTTGGCAATTTCCTTTAGTCTGTTCCTTGAATCATTCTCTTTTTATTTTGTGTTTTTGGGGCTGAAACAGCTCTTCTCATATCAGGGATTTGGGGAGCATGAGTGCAACTTGATTATTTATTATTTTTTGGGTAAGTCACCTGATCTGCTTGGTAAGGTGCTATTTGGCCAGCCATTTTATGAGGATTTTGGATGAGAGTCATGTGTAGAAAATGCTGGGTTTTTTTCGGTTTTTTTGTTTGCTTGGTTTTTTCCCAGGTATTTGATAACAGGAATCTGAAATATTAGCAATGCATTTGCAAAATCCTTGGCTTGTTTACCTGTATTTCTGAGCTTCAGTATCGTGAATCTTTTCAAACACATCCTTGGAAGGTTGTGGCACCTGGTGCAGATCTTAAATCTCAGCAGCTCTTGGTTCACACGTGGATTTCTTGTCTCCTCTAGCAGACATAACGTCACATATCTGCTTCCTCTAGGAATTTTTTTCCCCCCTCTCAGCTAATCATCTGTTTTTATACTGGGAGGTTTTAAATAATTCCCAGTCACCGCATCAAACCTGGGGAGGAGAGAAGGGATTCTGTGGGTACAGCACAGCGAAATCCTCCTGCCTGAGTGTTCCCAGCCCTGCAGTGCTGCCTGGGCTGGGGCTTGGGGACGGGTGGGAGCTGCCTGGGATCAGGGCTGGGCTGCAGGGTGGGCTCCAGCCCTGCCTTTGTCTGGGGTGGATGCCTCGGTGCCGGCTCCGTGTCCGCGCATCCCGCGGCTGCTGCAGCGTGGGCAGCACGGCTCCGTGGTGGTGAGCCTGCCTGCCATGGATGGAGACACGTCCCTTCCTGCATCGAGGCTCTTCACATGGCTCTGTCATGATGTCATTCCCTGGGATTTTTTTTTTTTTAATTTATTTTTTTAACTGCCCGAAGGATGCAGAGCTCTCGCTCCTGGAGGAATAAACGCCCTCGTGATGTTTGGAGAAAACTGCGGGAGAATCTGGTGTTGCAAAAAGGGGTGTGCTCACACCTTGTGGTCCTTTGTCTGGAAGGTTAAGGGAGCTGCAGAAATAAGTTTCTAGGATAGCAGCCTTCCTAACCCAGGAGATCTTTGTACAACTGTTGCGCTGGATTGCAGCATTTGCTTCCTGCTCAGATGAAAGGTTCTCTGCCCTGCTGGAAGGCCATAATTAAAGATATGCTCTGGCTGCTGGTGGGGAGGCTGAGTGCTCTGCCTTCATTTGCATCCAGGGACTTCAGGATGACAAATGAAATGGTACAAAGGGCTGTGATGGCCATCAGCTGCCTCAGCATCCAGGGCTGGCTGGTGGCAGACCTGTGCTGGCTGTACGCAGCCTCGCCAATAGATGTGTGTGTCCTATGGCTGAGGAAATCTGAGCTGCAGTTCCTTACTGGGCAGGCTTTGCAGCCCTCCCGTGGAAGATCTAGAAGCATCCCTGGGCGTTCTGTTTCCGTCTGAGAGTGGGCTTGCCCAGTGGATGCAGTGTGAGGTTTTCTCCTCTCTCCTCAGCCATGTTGTGGGAGTTCGGTGCCGTGTCCCTCAGCATTCACAGGGACTGCAGTGGCTCTGCCTCGTGCTGCTCAGCACTAGCTGCAGATGCTCTTTGCTGTGATTTTCCTGGCTCCTCAGCCCCCCAGATCTCCCTGTCTCTGGGGCTGTGTCCCCCACGCCCCTCCCAGGCCCAGCCCGGGGACTTGCTGTGGGTGCATCACGAGCCTGCAGCACCATCCGTGCCCAGCCAGGACAATCATCTCCTCCCTTTCCATCTCTGTTCTTATTAACTTCTACAGGGATACAGCACTGGCTGGCTAGGAGAAGGCAACTTCACCAGCACTCTCCTTAATTGAATTACTTTTCTCAATGATTGAAGATTATACAGAGTTTAGCAGTTTTAAATATGCTAATCTTTGCTAAAAAGGCAGGGAGAGCTCTGAGTGCTGAGGGATTAGATAGAGCTATTGTGTGTGGGGAAGTATGGTTCTTACTGCCTTTGATCTGGTTTTATCAGGTGATTTTCATCAGTCCTGCTACCTGAGGTTTAAGGAATTCTGATTTCTGAGTCACTCAGGGAGTGGACGCATCACCTACATGGGGGTAGCTTGCAGTATATATGACACATACTCAAATATTAACAACCTCTCTAGTTCTGCTTTGCATAGGAACACCTCTACTTCTTAATAAATGGATTTTTTTTTGATTGAGTGGGCAGAAGTGAATGCTGGGGCACTGCAACAGAAATATTTGTTCGTCACGTGAGTTTCTACTGCAGCTTTCATTGGCAAGCAGGTCTGAAGGGCACCAACGTGTACAGAAAGCAAAAGAACTCCCAGCTGTCTCTCTGTGCCAGCATTTCTGCATAAGATCTTGAAGGAAATTAGAACCAGTTGCGTTTTTGTTTTTTTTTTTTTAATCGGGAGCTGAGATTTTTAATATTGAAAACCCACTGATAAGTGCAGTGTAATAACTTCAGAGATACAACTGTTTGGAAAGCACTAATGAGCTGTTCTGTTGCATAACGATGTTGGTACAGGCACTGCTGAGCAGTGTGATGTGTCTCATTAGATAAGTGGGGAGCTGTAGGTGCTTTGTGTGTGACATGGGGCTGGTGTGGCACTGCTCACAGCGGGCACAGACTCATCCCTGTGCTGCCTGAAACTCCCTTCTTTCTAAGGGATTCACAGACTCCAGCCTTGTTGCACTGGTGGTTTAAAAGGTTATCCCCTCCCCTCTGGGTGATTTCCTAACCTTGTGGTTTTCCTGTGGCTGGGCCTTCAGACATTTGGGGTTCTCTCTGGACTGTATGAATTTTCCATGAGTTTCTAAACTCGGGCTTCGCATCTGGAAGCGGAATGTCAACAATGCATCCCAAAAAAGGGGGAGTCAGGAGCCACCAGGAGTGCTGCGTGGATGAACAAGGAACTCTGGGAAGTTCCAGAATGGAAGCCTGGCAGGGTGGAAGTGGGGGCAGGTTGCACAGAAATGGTCTGAGCAGCCAGAGACCAGGTTAGGAAACCCAAAGCCCTGATGGAATGAAACCTGGCCAGTCATCAGGGGCAGCAAGAAAAGCTTCTGTAGGGATAAAGTAGGACCAGGAAAAGTGTGAGGTCTCTCCAGAGGGAAACAGGAGACCTGGTTGCCCAGGATATGGAGAAGGCTGGGGCACTGAGTGACTTTCTTTGCCTCAGGGGTCAGTCATGGGATCAGCACTGCTGAACATCTTCATTGGTGACAGGTCCCTTCCCACCCAAACTGTTCTGGGATTCTTTCACAGTTCAGTGTGCTTGGTGTCTGATCCTTCAAGATCTTGAGCTCCACCATTTCTCTTCTTTCTCTTCTCCATCGCTGAAAAATCCCTTCCCACAGCAACGTGTGGAAGAAGCACAGAGAAAAAGACATCAGTGGTTTGTGGTGCCTTTTGATCCCTGTCTATTTGTGGAAGCCTCTGAAGGAGCTGTGTCTGTTCTTGAAAGGAGGAGTGGCTGTGCCTCTCTGAACTCCGCTGTGCTTTTCTCTCTCTGCATCTCAGAAATAATCTGTGAGTTGGGAGGAAAATGATCATCTTTTTCCTTGATGTGGCATAATGGATTTTCTG